GGGAAGAGGTTTCACGTTCCGCATCAGGGATACCCAAAGAATACTGACACGTTTGCCCTGAGGTTCATGTCGTGTATCGTTTGGTTGTTACACAGATAAGTTAGAAGTAGACTCCAACCAGACGAGGTTTTTGCTTAAACGCTACCATGTATGAATCTCTCTTTGCATGAGGTGCTTTCCATTTCAAACGACCCTTTTAACCCTCCCCTAAGACGCAAAGTGTTCTTGTCTCTTGTTCTGTGGACAGGATTTCAGGTTCTACATCACTACAAAGTTAAGGAACCCACACTATCTTCCTGAGGTCTCCGTCAAGGTAAGCTGCGAAAGATCAAACTTGTAGACGTGTTTCGGAACGAGACGGTGTTAGTCAGTTTTTCTCTCGTTTCCATGTTCCCACCAATAACGTAGCTCCATTTTCTGCCTATAAAAGCACAAACAACCCACAATTCCTCTATTCGCACCGACGAAGGGCTAACGCTCGAAACGTCAGCTTTTGTAATCGTTACGGTGGCCAATTTACCATTTCAACTTTGTTGATATATAGGGAGGGGTAAGTGCGCTGGTTCTCAGATACTTGCATTGAAACATGATTTCTCCGTCTAGAACTTCAAATTCACATTGAGCCCTCCCTTATGGAAATGTTTAGAGCTTTAAAGTTAAGTTCGTGAATGGTTATTGTAACCAATATCAACATTCCTTTGACGAAAGGCGAACGCTCGAAACGCTAGCTTTAGTGGTCAATTAAAATTATTAACTAAATTGGTAAAACAAATTATTTTGTAGTGCCCCCTTCCAACGTAGCACCACAGTTTCTTTAGAAACTTACCCCCTTTAACCAATATCATGGCTTGTTTTAGGAATGTATCAAGGAGTGGTGGGGTTTGTGCCGACAGCAGAGCGTTCCTGTGTCAGACAACTTTTCGTTGTCTGCGACTCTGGGAGATCCTCTATCAACACGCGCTTGGCATATCGCTGGACTGCCAGTTGACAAGTAAGTAATTCTCCCTTCAAGTTGTTCAATGCTTTTCCTTGTGAAAAACTTGAGAGAATTGATGTTATATCACAACGACACCGTGGTCCAGCTGGTATGTTTGCCTACTCTCCTGATTGCTGGATAATGCGTTGAAATTGTTAGGAAAAGTTAAACATCGTTCACATACGGGAATTAGATGGGGGCTACTAAGGAGAGTATATAATGTTTTTAACCC